GCATTTGGACTATTTTGCTATTAGGCTATGACTTTTCTTGTACATGTAGTTTGGTCAACATAAGTATGCAGCTGCGTTGGGTATACACCCAGCAACGGGATCACTTGTTCCTAAAAAATATACATATAGGGCTTCCCTGGTGGCGCAGTGGTTGGGAGTCCGCCTGCCGATGCAGAGGACACGGGTTCGTGCCCTAGTCCAGGAAGATCCCACGTGCCGCGGAGCGGCTGGGCCTGTGAGCCATGGCTACTGAGCCTGCGCGTTCAGAGCCTGTGCTCTGAAACGGGATAGGCCAAAACAGTGAGAGGCCCGCGTATCGCAAAAAAAAAAGGAAAGTACTCAAGTTCAAGAACAGAGACTGGAAAAATACCTGTCTACAAATTGACGTGTTTGTAAGTTTCATGGGCTTTATAAATCATAAACAATCATAATACAGTTTATCATACAAATGAAAAGGCCCTGGAGTAAAAATATATATATATATATATATATACTCCCCTTTAGTACATAATTCCATAGAGTTTTGCAGAGTGCTGGCCCAACTTACACTCCAACCAGAGTAATGTAAGTATTGCTCCACATCTTTCTTCTCACTTGGTGTTGTCACTGTAAGATGTTTGTTTTGTCTGGTTTAATTTTAGCCATCTCAGTGGGTGTGGAGTGGTGTCTTGTGGTTTTACTTTCCAGTTTCCTGATGACTAATGATGTTAAGCATCTTTTTAATATATTTATCAGCTAGTTGGATATTCTCGTTTGTGATGTGCCTATTCAAATCCCTTGCCCCTTTTTGTATTGGATTTTCTGCATTTTTATGATTGATTTGTAAGAATTCATTGTATAGATGTACTTTCTTAGTTATATGTTTTGCAAATATCTTCTTTAACTCTTTGTCTGTCCTGTTCACTCATTTACTGGTTGTAATTTAATTCATCCAATGAGTGCCATTTCACTAATTTACGGAGTTGTAATTATGTGTGTGAGTGTGTATTTAAATAAATAAGATGGAATATCAAAGCACTTCAAAGTAAGAGTTCCTTGAACTTTTAATTTAATTTCCGTGTGTGTGTGTGTGTGTGTGTGTGTGTGTGTGTGTATTGGGTTGTGTTTTAGGAGCCTTAAGACCACCCACGTGTTTGCTAATCGGCTATAAGGACTCCTGGGACAGGAACAGGTCACACTCACAGGTGGGCTTTATTCCAGGGAAGAGATGCAGAGCAAGGATAACAGGAAAAAGATGAACATCAGAGGAGTCTGGAGAGACAGGCACAGCTTCTGAGTCCTTCACCATCTGGGTTGCATAGATAGATGTGCTTTCTTTCTAGCAGCACTCCCACCCTGGGTACTGGAGTGAGATAGCAGGTCAGGGAAGCCCACTTGGGTCTCAGGTCTGCCATTATGTGGTGGGCTGGACACGTAGGCACATCCTGCTGTGACCAGTCTTGGCCACCTAATCTCAGGACCCCATCTGTGAATGAGGTGCCCATCACCAATCATGGTGTTTGTGCGAAGCAACCCTGACAAGTTGCTGTGGCGTGTCCATTGTTCCTGGTGCAAACACAGAACCATCAATGACTGATATAAAGAAGCTTTTGAGGGCATATTTCTAGGATTTGGCCACGATGAATCATGGTTCCAGGCTCCCCAGTAGAGATGCCAGAAGTACGTATCTGCATCTCCTGTGTTAACTCTCTTCTCACAGGGAGCTGTATAAACTGTATTTCTTAGTGAGAAAATCAACTCCACAATATGATAGTGTACCCTTCAAATCAGAAGCTCACAACCCAGGGGTCTGGCCCCCAGAGTGGTTTTATGCGGTGCCAGCTGGTCTCTGGAGGCCAGAGCCTGGCCATGGAAGGGATCCCTTAGCCTGCTGGGCTAAATCAGGCGGGCAGAGACAGTTGGATTCAGGGCAGACTGGGGGCCCCCCAGTGGGGAGAGGCCCTGGGCCGCAGGTGGGGCCAGAGGGGACGTGGAGGGGCCTCTCTGGACCCCAGACTCCCGGCAGGAGCCCCTCGGCTACTCAGTGGGGTTGGATGTGCTGCTTTGACGGGATCCTGGCCTTGGTGTGAGGGGCGGGGTGTGGGGCCCGCCGCCGGGGGGGCGTTCCCCTTCAGGCAGCACGTGTGCGTGCGGGGGGGCGTGAAACTTCACGGTGATGCCTCCTGGGGGCGGGGTGGAGGAGATTCACAGGGCTCAACCCCTCTGGTCCCGGGGGGACACTCGGCGAGGTCCAGTGATGGCCTGGCATCCTCAGCAAAGAGAGTTGGTGAGGTTGGGTCTTTTTCTGTTGCGCTTGGTGAGGGACAGGGCGGTCCTGAGTCATCAGACTTTGTCGTCTGTGAGAGTTTGGGCTCTGGGCCCAGGTCCCTGGCAGCTCCCCCACTTTGCCGAGCGGTGGGAAAGCAGCAGACTGCAGACGTGCCAATACAGTGATGTGCAAACTGGACAGTGGACAGTGGCAGGAATCTGGCTCACAGGCCGGAGTTTGCCAGGCCCTGGTCTAGAGCAGCAGTTTCCAAACTTACCGGTCTTGTGATGCGAAAGAGCTTTTGTTTTATCTATTAGTTTTTCCTATGTTAGTAATTAAATGCAGAAGCACTTATTTGTTGAAAAATAATAATAAGCTTGTTACAGGTTAATAATATTTATGCAAGAAATAACTTTTCTGTATCAAAAAAGTTCAGTGGAAAAAAAAAATCAGAAGCCCACAAACATGCCCAAAAGAACTTCTTTTTTTGTTTTTTGCGGTACGCGGGCCTCTCACTGTTGTGGCCTCTCCCCTTGAGGGGCACAGGCTCCAGACGCGCAGGCTCAGCGGCCGTGGCTCACAGGCCCAGCCGCTCCGCAGCATGTGGGATCTTCCCAGACCAGGGCACGAACCCGTGTCCCCTGCATCGGCAGGCGGACTCTTAACCACTGCGCCACCAGGCAAGCCCCCTGTTTCTTGCTAAAGCAATTACTTAGAAAACTTGTACAGTGCTTCTCAGGACCTTCATCAACTACCTTCCTGGGATTTGGATTATAGAGTAATCACTCTTTTCTGGATTTATTTTGATAAATCTTATTTAACAAGTTCATTATTTATTTTGTGATGTTTGGATTTATTGATGTAGAATTGTACGTAATATTCCCTTTATTTGTGTCCTTTATAACCTGTGGTTCTTTCTTCTTTTGTATTACTATTATGCTGACTTCATTTTCTTTTTATCCACTTGAATAGTCTACCTAGAAGCATATCTGTTGAAGTACGTTTTCAAAAACCAATCTCTTTTTCAAAATAAATGTTGTCATTTTATTATTTATTAATTACAACATTTATTTTAGTTAATTCTCCCTTTCTGCTTTTTTTTCCCCTAGGAGCAGAATGACTAGAATATTTCATGTTTTCCTGGTTGACGTTGTTAGTGTTGAAGACTCTGGCTTTTTAAATGAATAAAGTCGTGCTATTCATTCATTCAAAGACCTCTTTCAAGTGTTTTCCCAGGCCCAGCTTCTTTCCTCCACACCCACTGGATAGGTTACTACAGGCAAGTTTATTCAATCTAAACATGCTCCCAAGCTGGGTCCATCAGATTCTCTGTCCTAGGAATTTGAAATTGGAGCTCAAAAATATGACAGAGGTTTTTTTCGCTTCATGAATGAAGACATTGTATCTTCAATCTTCGACTCCCGGTTAACATTGAGCGAGACAAGATCCTGCAGTGTCACTAATTTCACAGTTTTCTGGTAGGGAGGAGGGTGAGTGAAAATGGAGAGGAAAACTTAAATTAAGAGCGGATATGATTGGGGGGGTCATGGAAAAAAGGTCAAGAAAGGCTCACGGGAGGATGCAATCCTGTCCTAAGGAACAAAAAGGACTTTGTTCTCTTCCTATTTTCTTATGTTCCACACAGGTGACAACATCTCAGCTCCCTAAATGTCCAAAAGTCAAATTGCTCACAGAGAATAAAAATGATCCTGTTCTCAAAGAGCTAAAAACATCTTAATCTCAGAATTATTCTTTGCCTATTAACCAGACTTCAACCACATACCTGTAATAGTTCATGTCTATCATAAAGGGTTTTTCAGAATTAAACTTAATCCCACGCTAAATGCACATAATTAATAATTGATTAAATCATAACTATATGCTTTCAGTTCATCTAATGTTTTCCATCTTTGTTTCAATTCTAACTTTTGGGTCTGCTGGACAATCATTTTCAAAGATATCAGTCAATGAGTGAAAACAAAATAAAACATCCAAATAATCTTGTCAATGCTGCTTTACTATACAAAGGCAGCAATACATCTGACGCTGCTGGCTGATAAGGCGCTTCCAGGCCATCAAGCTGCTGTCTCATTGGACCTGCGCGCACGACTTTAATTTGGCGTAAGGCAACTTAGAGGTGCCAGTCTGGGGACGCTTCTCAGTTTGAGAGTCAGCAAAAGGAGGGGTTAATTCCAAAAGAGGGGAAAGCGTGTGCAAAGCGGGGTGAAAACGCTCCAGCGGCTCCCAGGCCTGGAGTCCGGGCGCGGGCGGGGAGGGCGCTCGGGGCGCAGGGCTGGCTTCGCGAGCGGCCGCGTCTGCGAGGCCCGCAAGGCGAGCCCAGGTGAGGCGTCAGCGGTACCAGAGAGCGGGCAAGAGCCGGTGAGCGTGGTGGCGCAGGGGAGACACACACACACACACACACACACACACACACACACACACTCCCAGGAATTATTCAAACGGGGCCTGGCACCCCCTGGCCGCTCCCCATCGATTGCAGCGCGGGTCCGCATCGCCTCCAACCTGCGGCCCGGCCCCTGTGGGTACCCCCTCCCGGCGTCTGCCTGCTCCCGGCGAGACCTCGCGGCGAGGCGGAGGCGGAAGCGGAGGCCGGGGAGGGCGCCCCATCCAGGGCTCCGCCCGCTTCCCGCCGCCGCCGCCGCCGCCGCTTCGCTTTCGCTTTTCCCCGCGGCGCCGCCCGCCGAGTCCCAGGTTTCATTTTCGACGGGCGGGGCGGGACCGGGAGGCGCCCATGGTCTTTGGCCGCCGCTCGCGCGCCCCACTGCTGCTCGCGCGTCTCTCGGGGCTGCGGCGCGGAGCCTGCGATCGGGCCATGGCGCCGCCGCGCTGCTTCGCGCTGGAGCTGCCCGGCTGCACCCTGGCTCACTTCGCAGTGGGCGACGAGGCCCCGGGCGCGCGCCCCGACCCCGGCGTGGCCGCGCTCTTGGGCCCCCCGGGCCGCAGCTACTCTCTGAGCGTGCCGGTGGCTGGGAGCGCGGGCTGCGCGGCCCGGGTGCGCGCGGCCCGGCTGCACCAGCGCTTGCTGCACCAGCTGCGGCGCGGCCCCTTCCGGCGGTGCCAGCTGCGCCGCCTGCTGTGCTACCGCCCGGGCGGCGGGGCGGGGGGCCTGCAGCACGGCTTCCTTCTCCGCGACCCCCGCGACAGCCCCGACACCCGGAGCGCGCTGCTGGCACTGCTGGATGCCTGCCCAGAGGCTCCGCGCCCGGTCCTAGCCGAGTTCTCCGGCGACCCACTTTGCCGGCTGTGGCAGCTCCCGTGGGAACGGCGGGACGGCCAGGGGTGGCGGCAGCTGGGTCGCGAGCTCATCGTGCCCCTGCCGGAGCCCGCGCTGCACCCGGTGGTGCCGGACCTGCCTAGCTCCGGGGTCTTCCCCCGCCGGGAGGCCGCCCGCGCCGTTCTGGAGGCGGTAAGAGTTGGATCCCTTCCCAGCGCTCAGGGTGGATCTCCCAGGCCAGGGAAGCGGACACCGTGCGCTTTCCGCGGGCTGGCCTGTCCAGACCTCCCTTTGCCAGGGAGTTGCTTTACTCCCGAGCGCAAATCTGGTGGTGAAGGTCGCCGGTGGGCCAGCCTCTGTTTAGACACCGTGGCTCTTTCCAGATGCTTGCTCGCCAGGGACCCCCAACCCCATGGGGGAAACTGACATCCCAACAGAAGCGGTGCGGCTTCCGCTCTGGCGGTGCCCGAGGCGGGGGGTGGGGGGGGTTGCCGCTGGGTACGGGGAAAGCAATGCCATCTTGGAAGTGATGACCCTGTTGCGGGAGGTCGGGGTGTAGAGAACGGGCATGAGCTTGGGGGTTTAAGAATCTTAGATTAAGCGGTGCCTGCTTGCTTACTGGCTGCCACCCAGACACTCGGCTACTCTGTGTTGCTTTGTGCCTTTTCATCTGTAAAATACCTGCCTTGCAGTGTTAGGACAGGGAAACATCTGACCCACAAGAGGTGCTCGGTGCGGGACAGCTAAGATTCTGCCTGAGCGCAGCCTGGGCGGGTTCCTAGGCTGGACTATGGGTCTTAGATACCTTGTATGAGCCTTGGGATAGTATTTACGAGTGGTTAAGATTGCAAGACCTGGGTTTGAATCCAAACTCTGGCATTTATTACCTGTGTTACTTTCAGTAAGTTTATTAAACATTCTTCTTTGCCTTGGTTTCCCTGATCCGTAGATGGGGTTAATGACAGTAGCTCACTCACAGGGTTATCTTCAACAGTGGCCAAGTTAATACTGTGAAAGCACTTAGACTATTGCCTGGCTCAGAGTAAGCACGTAAGAAGAAAATACGTCTGGGCCTCTCTGTAGAGGTGCTGTGAGTACACATGAGGTCATGCACAGTTCAAAACCTGGAATCCCCTGGAGACCCTGCCCTACCCGCTTGGTGATTGCAGTGTTTGGCACTCTTCTGAGCCCGCCCGGGCGGCGGGGCGGGGGGCCTGCAGCACGGCTTCCTTCTCCGCGACCCCCGCGACAGCCCCGACACCCGGAGCGCGCTGCTGGCACTGCTGGATGCCTGCCCAGAGGCTCCGCGCCCGGTCCTAGCCGAGTTCTCCGGCGACCCACTTTGCCGGCTGTGGCAGCTCCCGTGGGAACGGCGGGACGGCCAGGGGTGGCGGCAGCTGGGTCGCGAGCTCATCGTGCCCCTGCCGGAGCCCGCGCTGCACCCGGTGGTGCCGGACCTGCCTAGCTCCGGGGTCTTCCCCCGCCGGGAGGCCGCCCGCGCCGTTCTGGAGGCGGTAAGAGTTGGATCCCTTCCCAGCGCTCAGGGTGGATCTCCCAGGCCAGGGAAGCGGACACCGTGCGCTTTCCGCGGGCTGGCCTGTCCAGACCTCCCTTTGCCAGGGAGTTGCTTTACTCCCGAGCGCAAATCTGGTGGTGAAGGTCGCCGGTGGGCCAGCCTCTGTTTAGACACCGTGGCTCTTTCCAGATGCTTGCTCGCCAGGGACCCCCAACCCCATGGGGGAAACTGACATCCCAACAGAAGCGGTGCGGCTTCCGCTCTGGCGGTGCCCGAGGCGGGGGGTGGGGGGGGTTGCCGCTGGGTACGGGGAAAGCAATGCCATCTTGGAAGTGATGACCCTGTTGCGGGAGGTCGGGGTGTAGAGAACGGGCATGAGCTTGGGGGTTTAAGAAACTTAGATTAAGCGGTGCCTGCTTGCTTACTGGCTGCCACCCAGACACTCGGCTACTCTGTGTTGCTTTGTGCCTTTTCATCTGTAAAATACCTGCCTTGCAGTGTTAGGACAGGGAAACATCTGACCCACAAGAGGTGCTCGGTGCGGGACAGCTAAGATTCTGCCTGAGCGCAGCCTGGGCGGGTTCCTAGGCTGGACTATGGGTCTTAGATACCTTGTATGAGCCTTGGGATAGTATTTACGAGTGGTTAAGATTGCAAGACCTGGGTTTGAATCCAAACTCTGGCATTTATTACCTGTGTTACTTTCAGTAAGTTTATTAAACATTCTTCTTTGCCTTGGTTTCCCTGATCCGTAGATGGGGTTAATGACAGTAGCTCACTCACAGGGTTATCTTCAACAGTGGCCAAGTTAATACTGTGAAAGCACTTAGACTATTGCCTGGCTCAGAGTAAGCACGTAAGAAGAAAATACGTCTGGGCCTCTCTGTAGAGGTGCTGTGAGTACACATGAGGTCATGCACAGTTCAAAACCTGGAATCCCCTGGAGACCCTGCCCTACCCGCTTGGTGATTGCAGTGTTTGGCACTCTTCTGAGCCCCCAAGAGCTTAGGAAAGGACAGGATGCTGATTGCTTTCTTTGGAGCCTACAGTGTGTCTGATTTCCCACATTTGTGACACACAGGGCCCATGGTTCCACTGTCGCTACGTGACACTGCTTTGCAATTATACATCTTTTCTGCCCTTCCTCCTCTGGGGGAAGCTGGTCAATGAGAGTTGCAGGCTGGGTGGTCCCGACAGTTACGGCCTTTTTGAGCCTCAGCTATGCGGGACAAAATAAAACAATGCAGCCCTTGCTCAGGTTCAAAATACTTCACATTTTGGCATATGGTGCCAAACATAGCTTGTGCCTTATTAGCATTGTGCAGTCGTCTTCTCAGCAATTAGATATAGCTTCTGCCAAGGCCCCATTGCTTTGCTGCTGATGCACGGACATTGTTTTACAGTGTACATCCTTCATTCCTGAAGCCCGGGCTGTGCTGGACCTGGTTGACCAGTGCCCAGAGCAGGTCCAGAAAGGAAAGTTCCCTGTTATTGTCATTGAAGGCCTGGATGCCACAGGTAAGAGAATATTACCTTCTAGTTACAGACAATGAGTTGTAGGAATAGACAATTCTTGACACATAAAACTTTATACAGGGTTCAATTCATAAGCCTCCTGTGAGCCTCTGTCGTGTGCCAGGCATGGAGCAAGGCTGGCCTGGGACACAAAGATGGATAACTTCAGTTATCCATCCCCGTAAGGTGGGGGGAGCCTCAGGTGCTCCGGTGAACATGGGAGGGCACTGGGTACAGCCTCGGTGTGGGAGATGAGGGACAGTCACGGTCCGGGAGACCTTGGAAGGATGGATCCTGGACTGGGCTTTCAGTAGGACAGGAGTTGGTCGGATGAGGAAGACGGGAGAGAGCCTCCAGACAGAAGAAACAGCAGGGTGAAGCTGGGGACCCGAACCGGCCTGGTGTGTCCAGGAACTGCAGGCAGTTCAGAGGCCCCTGTGGAAACAAAGTGTGGAAGAACTAGGGAGTGAAGGGCAGAAGCCTTTGGAGCCGCCAAATAGGCGTCAGAATACAGTGGACGTGCCCACACTTAGTCCAACACGCGACAGCAGGCAAAGGGTGGATCCAAGGGCCACAGGGAATACCCAAGGACAGGGTGGATCTGGGAGAACCAGAGGGTCACGAGGTTCCCTGTGAGTCTCCTTCCTGTGTCAGGTGAGGCGTGATGGGAGGAGTGAGTTCCTGGAAGCTGATAGCACAGTTTATCATTAATTTGTAAACGAGATGACCATTTGCTTTTTTCTTTCAAGCATTCTCACACCAAACAGGAATCCTGAATTCCCAAGGCTTGGCAACTTTTTGTAAAAAATTGTATTATTTAATCAACTCCTTCTGGTAACAGGTGGAAATAATGTCTTTGCTCTGACATCAATGTTAACTTTTGGGAGTGATATCTTGGCTGTGGTTAAGATGTGCTGCATTTTGTATCCGACCTGCAGGTAAAACCACTGTGACCCAGTCAGTTTCAGATTCACTCAAGGCTGTTCTCTTGAAGTCACCACCCTCTTGCATCAGCCAGTGGAGGAAAATCTTTGATGATGAACCAACTATCATTAGAAGAGCTTTTTACTCTTTGGGCAATTATATCGTGGCTTCTGAAATAGCTAAAGAATCTACCAAATCGCCTGTGATTGTAGACAGGTGGGTATAAAGATGCGTTGAATTCGGCATTTTCTTCCTAACATATGAGTAGTGCGTATGTGTGTGTGTGTGTGTACATATACATGCAAGTACACAATAATCTTTAAGACAAAGTGTATTATGATAATAACAGGAATAACGTCTATGATTTATTAATCACTTACACCATTGGCTGGCATTTTGCTAAAGACATTATACATACTATACTAACATCTGGAACAACTACTACATAGATACTAAAATTAATGATGAGAAACACAGGTCTTAGAAAAGTTCAGTAACTTGCCAAAGTGACAGAGCTAGAAATAGCATATGGGGGGATATTAACAAAAGTCTCTGCTTCACAAATCAACCTTTCAGTGGTTCATGTTTATTGGCTTATTCAACAAACATATATTGGGCATCTACCATTTGCCAAAGACAGTTCTCAGTTTAGAGGATTCGGTGGTAAATGAGCTAGGCAGTGCCCTGCTTTCATGGAGCAAACATTCTGTTGAAGGAGAAGGTAATAATCAGGCATATAGATACATAAGGTAATATCAGAGAGTGATAAATACTGTAAAGAGGAGAGATGAAGGTCGTGTGGTGGAGGATGGCTAACCCCTCACTAGATGTGACTTAGGAAGGCCTGCATAAGGGGGTACCAGTGGTCTGAGCTCTGAATGACCAAAGAGAGACACACCTGAAAATCCTGGAGTAAAAGCTTTGTGGGAGAGGGGTCAGCAAAAGCAAAGTATAGAGACGGGAAGATGCGAACACATTCCAGGGCTAGAAACAGGCCATCGTGGGGCAAACATGTGGACGAGGAGCTGCTTTCTGGATGGATAAAAAGGCAGAGACAGGTCAGCAGGGTCTGTGGCTGTGATAAAACAGTGTGGATTTTATTCTGAGTGCAGAGGGGGGCCTTTGGGAGGTTTCAGATAACGGAGTGACAGAAGCTGAGTTATATTTTGAAATTTCATATATAAGAAGTAGCTTAAAAGTGCTACAGGGCTTCCCTGGTGGCGCAGTGGTTGGGAGTCTGCCTGCCGATGCAGGGGACACGGGTTCGTGCCCCGGTCTGGGAGGATCCCACATGCCGCGGAGCAACTGGGCCCGTGAGCCACGGCCGCTGAGCCTGCGCGTCCGGAGCCTGTGCTCCGCAACGGGAGAGGCCACAACAGTGAGAGGCCCGTGTACTGCCAAAAAAAGAAAAAAAAAAAGAAAAAAAGAAAAAAGAAGTGCTACAAAAATGGACAAAGGGAACGGCAGGCAAGTCCTACTAGGAATGGAAATTCAAATGACGATGAGAGCCCGTTTTACTCTCATCAGGTTGGTGAGAACTCATTAGAAAAGTCTGATAGCCCAGAGTTGGAGATGATGTGGATTGATAGAAACTCACATGGTGCTAGTGGGAGTGGGCACCTGTAGGGTGACTTGGGGAGCGATTTGAGAAGATTGCTTCCACTTCCTGAAGAAATACAGAGTTTGTTTCAGCTTTGTTCATAATACTGAAAAACTTGAAAAACCAAAGGCATCAACAGAAGAAAGGGTAAATTAATACTGGCATATATTTATAAAATGGAGCACCGAACAGCCATATGCACTCGTAGGATGCATCAATGTGCCTAAGTTACAAAGGTATAATTTCAAATGAAAGAAATCAACTTGCAGAAAGATATTCAGTAGGACACATGCAAAATAATACAAAACATAATACCAAAAAAGGGATGGAAGGATGTTGAACACCAAATTTAGGAGAGTGCTGTCCCCTGGGAAAGAGAGAGAAATGCAGTTGGTGGGGAGTACTAAAGGGCTTCAGTTGCAGCTGAATTCGTCCTTAACATTACTCCAGTGTACATCTTGTTCTTGCTGCAATTTTACTTATTTTTGGAAAGATGAGAAGTTGCATTGAAGTCTGACAAGTGTTCAGGGAAGAGCACTAATTATAAATGGAAATCTCAAGGAATTTAAAAAAGTGAACACGTTCAAGTACATCCTGCACCCAGGTCGTGACTTAGAACCTTACTCCACCCTGTAAGTTCCTTCCCTCCCAGTCACGACCCATCCTTCCGCCCATGGGAACCATGACCCTGACTCCGTCACCGTAGGTTAGTTCTGCATGTTCTTGAACTGTCTCTACAGGCAGATAGACATTGACTACTATTTGCATCTGCCTTCCTTCACGCCACCTGTGAGAATCGTCCCTGTTGCCGTGACCGTTCTTTTACACAACTTTGGTGCCCGTGTGTGTTACCAAACCAGGTTCGACGTTCCCCAAGCCAAACACTGAGACTGTTGCTTGCAGCAGAGAAAGGGTTCATTCATAAGGTCGCCAAGCAAGGAGACGGCAGAACACATCTCACATCTGCCTTCCCCAAAGCAAGGGGCTTGATATTTATGGGACGAAGATGCAGAGTGGTCTGAGGCGTGGGAAGCATGGGGAAAGGTGACTGGACCTAAGAAAAAGTGTGTGGTGGTGCGTGGTGGTGGGGAAGATGAAAACCATAAAAATTAGTTAGAAGGCCTTTGCTGTCATCTAAGCTATAATGCCAGTGGGTACTCTTTAACTTTGGGGATGGCAAGATAGCGATTTGAAAGTTGGCAAGTTACAAGGAATCCTAGACAAGGGTAAGACATTGCTTTCCCTTGTGGGACTTTTTCACCTGTGGGATCCACCCTATTGTTAAAGTCCTTGGATTTACCATCTTGATATATATATATATATATATATATATTTTGTTAGTCTCTCTTTATTTCAAGGAGATAGACTAGGCTTTTCCTAATAAAGTGTGACTTCATAAGGCACATTACTTCCTAAGATATCCAAAAATCCTGGAGCAGCACGGGTTTCTGCATGTAGGTAGACACTTATTCTCTGCATCCTGTTTCCTAATCTCTTCAAAGATGATATTCTTTATCCCTTCCCTGCTGACCAGAATTTGAAAAAAGAACACATACATGTATATGTATAACTGAATCACCATGCTGTACACCTGAAACTAACACAATGTTGTTCATCAACTATACTCCAATACAGAATAAAAATTAAAAGACTTGTGGTGAATATCCAATGAGTTGATGAAGGTGGACGTGCTTTGAAAGCAGCAAATTGCTATAAAAATATAAAGCATTATTTTATAAGTGATGTATAATGTGTCAACAAATTGCATTTGATTTGAGCTAATGTGGTTTCCCTGATGGCCGGAATGGAGAATACTAAATAATGAGTCTGAAATTGATGGCCAGAGGGTATAATTATTTAAAATGAGCAGCAGTGTTGTCAGTGAGAGAACTCTGGCTTTGCAGAACAGGGCTCCCATTCTTCCCTGATTTTTCTTCTGTATGTCTGTGAATTATCTGCAATTTTGTTTCTTTAAAGAGATAATGCTAGATCACCTTGTCAGATGAGAAGAAAAGAGCAGTTATTTGTTGTCTGGATGGTTTTTGTTCATGTTTAAAGATTTTAAGGAAATCCATTTTAGACAACACCATCGTCTAGCTGAAAAAAGAAGGGAGACGGGGTAATTTTTGATGGTGACTGCGGTTAAGGTTGGCAACTTAATCACCCTCATTACCTTTAAAAATCTATTCTTGCTGATGGTTTTTCTACAATAAAGAAGGCTTTTTACATTTAGATGATATCAGCCTCTGTATTCATAGCTAAGTGTTTAATTCAGTGAACACGGAGCATGTGCAAAATGCAGTGCAAATTGTAGTTTTGTTGCCAAGAAGAAGAAAACCTGGACCTGCTTGGGTTTATTCAGCTTGGGAGACAAGATGTATCTGGTGGAGAAGGTGAAAGTGCAAGTTTGTGAGTGATTAAAAGTCTTGTAAGTGATACATAGGAATGGCCCCAGGCAGAATTCAAGGCGCTAGCAGCTGCACTGGCCACACTTTTGGAGGTGGAAAAGGGCTTTGAAGAATGAATGATATTAGAATTGATCAGCCCCCAAATTAATTTTTTACCTTTGTTCTTTTCAGTATTCTCTGTATTGTATTATCATAATTTGAAATGATGCAGCTTTAGTGTCCAATAAGAGTTAAATATTGCCTTATAATGACAGTGTGATACATTTCTTTTTTGAATTTTATTTTATTTATTTTTTTTATACAGCAGGTTCTTATTAGTTATCCATTTTATACATATTAGTGTGGATATGTCAATCCCAATCTCCCAATTCAAGTGTGATACATTTTTAAAAAGCACTTGACTATTTTTGTAAAAACTGTGGGAGGAAACCAAAGCTTTCATGATTTTCATTTTCCAGAAGAGGAATTTGAGACTTACCAATGTACACAAAGCAAGTAGGTGGCAGAGAGTAAAACAATACACAGCTTGGATAACCCTCTGCATTTATTTTGTAGATAAAGGACCAGTATGTGCTTTTCACTGTGAAAAGAAGTTCAACTCTAAAGTGATTAAGAATTAAGGATTTTAAAACAGTACAGGCAGTAAATTGAAAATACAGACAAGGATGGGGCCATGGGTGCCTCTCGACATTGGGATGTTTATAATTGTTTCATAAATGTTTTTGTAGGTGTTAGTCCTTTGATACTGGATTTGGAGTTTTGCATTTTGTCACTTAAAATTGGAATATGACATGAACAGGGCAAGAGTATAATAAACTATGCCAATCAATAAAATAGTTCTAATTCATTTATTCCTACATCCAAAAAACATTATTAGTTGCATACCTATTGTGTGCCAGATGCTGGTTTCAGATTTTGGAATACAGAGATAACTAAAAAATGAATTATCTAATGGAGGAGATGAAAGAGAGAAACTTGTACACAACTGGCTCTAATTTAGAATAAGTCCTTCAGCAGAGCTGAGTATGAAGGGCATTGAGAGCCCAGAGGAGGAAACAGTGAATTCTGCTGGGGGCTCCCTCTGCATGGCCTGCCGAAGGAAGAGGAGGCACTTTGCTGCCTGAGACCCTCACTCCAGCTGGAGGAAAAGTGTGAAGACAGACCCCCATGGAAGAGCGTGCCTGGGTCCACACTGGGAAGAGGCTTGTGTTTTAGATGGAGGCTGAGTGTTTTCTGGCAGGTGGTAGAAAGCCATTGGGCTTTTTT